TTCCACTGAGCCATCTCCCCGGCCCCGGGATTTGTCTTAAGAATAGATGTTACTTCCATGGGACAGTGGAGGGAGGCCAGAGTGCTCTGGTGACATCTTGTGGTCTCTCACTCCTAATAATACTATTTTGTAAGTATAGCGGTTACTTGCTTGCGCTGGTTAACTGGGGTCCACAGGTGATACTCTCTCCAGGGGTCAGTGTCATCTAATACAGAGACATGGTCACTCACTCACGCCCTCAGGGTATTTTATTTGGTTCCCATTACTGGAGTTGGAACCTTTGCACTAAGCTACCTCAGCCTGTTTTTAAATTTTTTTATTTTGAGACAGGGTTGGCTGGGGTAAGTTGCCAGGGTTGCCTGGGATAGCCTCGAACTTTCAGTCCTCCAGCCTTAGCCTGCCAGAGCTAGGATCATGGGCGTGCCTCCCACCACTGCTCCCAGGTGGTTAAATAAAAAAGTGCCTCCAGAAACATGAGCTGAGTCAGGGGAGCTCCCAGGACAAGCACGTTGAAAGTTTCCCCTAGTTCCTCGCTCCGTACCTGAAAGGGCAAGAGTAGGCCCCTGGGAAGAGCCCCTCCAGACAGGAGTGATGTGGCGGCTCTAGACCTGGCGCCAGGTCAGCTGGGGAGCAGCTATCCTGAGCTCACCTTCTTCCTGTCCCCTGACCCACTGTGCCCTCATTGGTCCCATCCAGCCGGACCCCATGATGTGGCCCATAGAGTTAGGCATCTGAAGATAAGACAGCATGTGCCAGGGAGGAGAGGCTGCAGAGAACCTCTGTGCGCGATCATTCCTGGTTCTCAGAAACAGCTGTTTTGTTTTACTTTGAACAGTTTTGGTGGCTAAGGGACTGTGAAAGGCTGAGCTGTTATTTTTCCCAATATCTGTAGTATATCTGTTGGGTGAGGTGTTCACAGCGTCCGTGACTTTGGCGTACATAGCCAGCCATAGCCAGCAGGTAGCAAAGCCGCCACCCTGCTCTCACTGCTCCCACAATTCCTTGCAGGCAGCAACGGCCATGAGTTTGTCTTCCTCCTGAAAGGCCATGAAGACCTGCGGCAGGACGAGCGAGTGATGCAGCTCTTCGGCCTGGTCAACACCCTTCTGGCCAATGACCCCACGTCCCTGCGCAAAAACCTCAGGTATTCAGAGCACCATGAAGACAGCAAAGCTTTGAAGAGTTGTCTGTCTTATTTTCACTGTATCCATCTGTATAATCATGTCTTTAGCAAATCAGTTAGAAAAGCATGTCCCTGACAGAAACTTCTCAGTATCCAGGCACCTAACACAGGAAGAAGATTCTCCAGAATTTTTAGGGTGCCCTCAGTGGGAAATTCCTGTAACAACCTCCAAAGTCTCCATAAGAAAGTGATGTGAGATTAGACTGGAGAGTGTAAACTTGGTGTATTTTACCCCTTAGGGGATCAAAGCCCAGACAAACCTTACCTGTGCTCAGCTCCGTTGATCCTCTTCCCAGTGAGACCATGGTATTACACTGAGGGGTTGTGTTAGCCTCAGAAAGAATCCCTCAGTGCTGCCCTAGAGCTGGGCAAGCTAGGAAGACCCGGCTTCTGTGTGGTCCAGGCACCTCGCCTCTGAGGTGCTGTCACGAAGGCTGACACACTGCACACCTCGCTGCAGCCAGGGCCAGTCTGCTGTTCCCTGAGCTGACCAAAGATGTGTTCTCTTGCTGCCATGCTTCTGTGGACTCCAGCATCCAGAGGTACGCTGTCATCCCTCTGTCGACCAACTCGGGCCTCATTGGCTGGGTGCCCCACTGTGACACGCTGCACGCACTCATCCGGGACTACAGGGAGAAGAAGAAGATCCTCCTCAACATCGAGCATCGCATCATGCTGCGAGTACGTGATGAGGCCGCCACCCAAGTCCCGCAGGGCTCAGAGGCCACTCCCTAGTTTCTGGTTCACCTTTGTATGTGCATCGCTGCAAGATCTGTGGGAGGGAAGTTGCTGTTGAAGAAGGCTTAGTAAGGGGAATCCTAAAGGAGATAACCTCTAGAGCACCACAGGGCCATACAGCCCAGAAATTACTGGACAGATAGCGTCAAGCCTAAAGTACACAACGCACTCGACAAACCTTGCCTAGGAGATGTGTAAGAAATAGAGCTGTGTGTTACCCCAAACTTTTGTGTTCCCCTGCATGAGGAGCCTTGTCTTAGAGTCCCTTCCTTGTCCTCCGGAAGCACCTGTGCTCGTCCAGTTAGAGTGACCACCACGGCATCCCTATTTCCCTTGTCCCTTTGGCTGTGTCCTTTGGCAGAATTAGAACCCAACTCTCCCTGGGCCCGAGCCTGTTTCCTCCTAGATTACAGCTGTTCTCTGACTGCACTATCTGACACAGATGGCTCCAGACTATGACCACCTGACTCTGATGCAGAAGGTGGAGGTGTTTGAGCATGCCGTCAACAACACAGCTGGGGACGACCTGGCCAAGCTGCTGTGGCTGAAGAGCCCCAGCTCAGAGGTGGGTGGCCGGTGGGACGCGTGAGCAGGCCTTGCTGGGGAGAGGAGGCTGCGGTGGGCTGTGCACATGCTTTTATGACAAAGCAAAGGGTGGCCCTGCAGCTTAGCACGTCTGAGGGAGTGCTTTGCAGTTCTCCTGTTATGTATGAGAGCGCTTCCGCCCTTTATATATTACCAATTATCTTTTCACATGTGTTGTAAATTTCCTGTTCATTTGGGTTTTTTTAATTATGTTAATGTTTTTGAAACAGACTTTTTTTTGGGGGGTGGGGGGAATTGGGGATTGAACTCAGGCCCTTGTGCTTGCCAGGGAAGCTCTTATTCCACTGAGCCATCTCCCCGGCCCCAGAAACAAGACTTCTTTGAGACATGGTCTTGCCATGTATTTCAGGCTGATTTTGAACTCATGTAATCTAGGCTGGCCTCAAACTTGCAGCAATCCTCCTGTTTCAGCCTCCCAAGTTCTAGGATTACAGGTCGCCCACCACACCCAGCAAAATAGATATTTTCAAAAGAAGATACCAGCAGAGTACTCTCACGCATGCCTGTTATCCCAGCACTTGGGAGGTTGAGGCAGGAGGATCACTGTGAATTCAAAATCAGCCTGGATGACAAAGCTGAGGCTCTGTCTCAAAAAAAAAAGAAAAGTAAAGCTTATGCATCTTTGTATATATTTTCTTAATCTTAACTATAAGCCTTTAAACATTTAAATTCTAATCCCAATTAGAATTTAAGACTAAGACATAACTAATTTTTTAAACATAAGTTGATACCACCACACTATTTTTAAGTGGTGCACCCTCTCCCTGGTATTTAAAGGATCCCATTTTCAGTATACGGTAAATCCTTCCGTGCCCTTGGCTTTCTTTCTAAGGCTTTTAGTGTCGCTGCTCTTTTTGCATGTTCTCCTCAGTTACCATAGCAGTATACTACGTTCGTGTATTTTTCTTCCACATAGAGTTTAGGTCATTTTGTCAGGGTCCTTAAAACAGTGTCACTGAACTTTTATTGAAACTACAGTAAGAGTGTCAAATAATTTGGGAAGATATTACATCTTCATAATCAATAGATATTTTCCTTCTTTCCTTGTTTTTTTGTTTTTTGTTTTTCCTTGGTTTTTTTTGAGATAGGATCTCACTAACATAGTTCAGGCTGACCTTGAGACTCACTATGCATTCCAGGCTGGCCTCGAACTTGAGTGATCCTCCTGCCACAGCCTCCCAAGTGCCGGGCTTGCAGGTGTGCCCACCATGCCCTGCTCTGAAATACATTTTTCCTTTACTCAAGTCTTTGCATTCCTAAGAAAAGTTTATCTGTTCATCTAAATCCAGCACATTTCTAATTACACTTATTCTAAGGCAGAGTTTGGTATTCTAATTATGAATGGGGTTTTATTCCATTACACACCCTAGCTGGTTGTTCTGGAAAATAGCAGTGGGTTAGGGGACAAATACGTTGCAGAGCCTGCTTCATGTGTGCCTGTGTTGTAGGTGTGGTTTGACCGAAGAACCAATTACACTCGTTCATTAGCGGTCATGTCGATGGTTGGATATATTTTGGGCCTGGGAGATAGGTGAGTGAATTGAATTTGTTTCAGTCTTCTTTTGTCTTTAATGTTTCTTGTAATAGTGTCCCTTTGTTTTCCAGTGAGGTCATGATCTCTGCTAAATACATACTTCTTTTTTGGGTTTTTGTGGTTGGTTTGGTTTTGTTTTTTGAGACAAGGTCTTATTAAATAGTTCAGGCTGGCCTTGAACTTACTGTGTAGCCCAGGCTGACCTGCAATTCATGGTGATCCTCCTGCCTCAGCCTTCCAAGTGCTAACATTACAGGCATGGCCCACCACACCCAGCTCTGTATTTTTGTGCTTTGTGCTTTAAGCTTCTTTTCCAGGCTTCATTATCCATGCTGGCAGAACTTAATTTGATGGAAACACAACCATGGTTTAGGGAATAAAGAGGGAGGATAATAACAGGGATGGGAATGATTAAACTGTATTATATGTGTGAATGAAATACTGCATTGAAGCTGCTTATTTTATAAACTTAATATGCACTAATAAAACATATTTAGTGCCTGTGTAGCAAGCACAAGGTCATGAGTTTGATGCCTGGTACCAGGAAAAAAAAAAAAAATTTAAACCAGGCATGATATCACACACCTATAACCCCAGCACTCAAGAAGCTGAGACAAAAGGGTCACAGGTTTGGAGCCACCCTTGATGATCACAAAACCTTTTCTTGGTAGAGGGAACCTAGTTTAAGGGCAACTTTCTTTATAGCCCATTTCAGTGTTTTGGAGAACATGTTAAAACAAATTGATTTTGGCCAAGGAGATAGCTCAGTGGAATAAGTGTTTGCCTGGCAAGCAGAAAGTCCTGAGTTCAATCCCTGGTACCACCAAAAAAAATTTAAAAAACAAATTGATTTTACTGATTTTAAAAAACATTTTTCAGGGAGGCATGGTACCGAATGCCTATAATCCCAGCACTCAGGAGGTTAAGTAAGACAGGATGTTTGATTGCCTTGTGTTCGAGGCCAGCCTGAACTACATAGCGAGATCTGTCTCCAAAAAAAAAAGTAAAGAAAACTAGTTCAAGGGCTGGTGAGATGGCTCAGTGGTCTAAAGCACCTACTTAGAACAAGCTTAGCAAAGCACAAGGGACCGCGGTTCAATCCCCCAGCACCACATGCCAGCCAGCCCCGCCCCCTGGTGGGCTGAGCTGGTCACACACACACATACACACACACACACACACACACAATAAATAAATAAATAAATAAAAAAAAAAAAAAAAAAAGAAAACTAGTTCAAGTTGCCTGCCTGGCAAGTGCAAGGTCTCGAGTTTGATCCCTGGTACCGTAAAAAAGAAAAAGAAAAAAAAAACTAGTTATTTTATGATTACTGCTTATCTTTTGAAATTATCTTACGTGAAAGTAAAAAATTTAATAATTTTACTCTTCAAAAATAATAAATTTTTGTTTTAAGAAAAGTCTAGCTGGGTATAGTGTTGTACACCTATAATCCCAGCACTCTGGGAGGCTGAGGCAAGAGGATCATTGTGAGTTCGAGATCAGCCTGGGCTACAAAGTGAACTCAAGGCCAGCCTGAAGTACATAATGAGACCCTGTCTCAAAAAGATGAGAAAAAAAAAGCCCAGCTAGGCGTGGAGGTGCATGCCTGTAATTCCAGCACTCTGGGAGGCTGAGGCAGATGGATCACAAGTTGAAGCTCAGCCTGGGCAACGTGGTGCCTGAACCAGACCGTCTGAAAACAGAACAGGCATAGTAGAATGCCTGGTGACAGCAACCAGATGCTGCTGCCTGGTTGGACTGGCATTCGAAGAGGTGACTGTATGATAGCTGCCCCATAGCAGTGACAGAGCCTTGTCACCCCCAGAAGCTATCGTGTGACCCAGGACCTGGGCGAAGCCAACTCTTGGGCAGTAGGGCAGCCTGTGTCTCCCACAGGTAAATCCTCATGTCAAGAGCCTGTGTGGTGGCACCTGCACACACACACGTAATCCAAGCGGTGGGGAGGCTGTGGTGAGAGGACTACCGCAGGTTCAAGACCAGCCTGAACTGTATAGGCACACACTGTCTCTAGAAACTAGAACAAAACAAACAAACAAAAATCCGTGTTTTGTCCCCAGTACAGAAGTCAACAATCTGTGTGAAGTGCCAGGTGATGACTACTTCAGGCTTTAGAGGCCAGGCGCCTGTGTCAGAACGGCTCAGCTCTGCCATCCTGGCCCACACGAGCTTGAAATAGTTCAGAGATATTTTCCAATAACGGTTGAAGGGGCCGGGGAGATGGCTCAGTAGAACAAGCGCTTGCCAGGCAAGCACAAGGGCCTGAGTTCATTCCCTGGTTCCAGTTGAGGATCTGGGGGCAGCATCATAGTGCTCTGGTCCCTGCTCTCCAGAGGCTGAGGCCGGAGTATTGCTTGAGGCCAGGAGTTCATGACTGGCCTTGGCAACAGGGTTAGATTCTATCAAGATTAAAAACAGCAGTGGTGCTTGTAATCATTGGTTGACTGTAGTCTTGTCCCACCTCATGCCACCTAAGCGAGTTTCCATGTCTTCTCCACCACCACTTTAGACCCGCCTCACTGCATGGTTTTCCTCTATAAAAGTCCCTGGAAGAGACAGCTCCCCAGGGACAATCTGCTGGGGCCCCCTCCTGTCCCTCTCTGGGACAGGAGCTTTCTTTCTCCCAATAAATATATTCTGCTCATTAAAAAAAAAAAAAAGGATTAAAAACACAGAACTATGGCCAGGGAGCTAGATCAGCGGCAAAAGCACCTGCCTGGCAAACGTAAGGTCCTGAGTTTGATCCCCAGAATCAATCAATCAATCAATCACTCAATCAATCAAACAAACACACACACACACAGAGATAGAGGGAACAAGAACTTGAACTAAACTTACAAAGGTGAGTGGGGCAAGCTGACATTTGGACTGTCATTAGCCCAGTCCAGACCTGGAGTATTAGTACTAAATTCACTCACCAGTGCTGCCCTGGTTACCCTGGCTCTCTCCTCTTTCTCAGGCACCCATCCAACCTGATGCTGGACCGGCTCAGTGGGAAGATCCTGCACATCGACTTCGGGGACTGCTTTGAGGTGAGCACATGTTGGAGACCTTCGGGGGCTGCTTTGCAGTGAAACACATTCTGAAAACCACCACAAGCACACTCCTCTGATAGTTCAGGCAGAAGCCCAAAGGCCCTCCCTGCCCCAGCCTTCCCCGCTGCAAGATGGAAAGTCAGTCTCACGAAACCTATGCATGCGTTGGACTGACTCCCAGGCAAGACCTGCTATTCATACACACTCTCTGAGCCTACTCTGTGTGGGAGCCTGGGCCCTAGGTCGTGCACGCTTTGTCCTCTTTTCTCTTTTCTTTTGTCTTTCAAAGTCATTTTTGAAATCACAAGGCCTACCCCCAAACTCACTTGAACACTTCACTCTGCTGTCTTGTGAATCACTGTGAGGTTTGGTCTCACCCTTCCTTATTCTCCAGGTTGCTATGACCAGAGAGAAGTTTCCAGAGAAGATTCCATTTAGACTAACGAGAATGTTGACCAATGCTATGGAGGTGAGTGGACGTTAGGAACCAGCTGCTTTGACATGGGACCAACACAGCACCAAGCTTCTCTGAGGAGAGACTTGCTTGATAGAATGTATCATTCCCCAGATCGCCTGTGCAGTTTCTGTGGCAGCGCTGTAGCTTTTCCCACTGTGCTCAGAGTGGTCTTGAAAGTCTTACTTTCACATCAGACCTGGTCCCAGATGTATCACACCCCCGCCCTGCCTCCTCCCATGAGGGTCCCAGTTGATGCATCAACAGTGACCTGGGTCTGTTTGCTAAGTGCAGATGACAAGTGCTCTCTTGCTGCTGGTCAGAAGGCACAAAGCACCACACTTAGTAAATCCCAGGGCGTGTGGCTCCGTGCCTTCCCTAGGTAACAGGTCTGGATGGAAACTACAGAATCACCTGCCACACAGTGATGGAAGTGCTTCGGGAACACAAGGACAGCGTCATGGCCGTGCTGGAAGCCTTTGTGTATGACCCCTTGCTGAACTGGAGGCTCATGGACAGTAAGTGTCACCAAGTGCATGGGGCTGTGCCTGGCACCCTTGTGTGGCTAGAGATCAGCACACCAGGTTTCTCCAGCCATGCCCTCCCAGAGGAGCTGAGACGTGCTACCCAGCTGCTGCTTTGCCTTCCTAGAGCAGCGCTGTGGCCAAGGGAATTGCAAGTATTTTTATTAGCTAGAATATAAACTCCCACTATGGACTTAGGTATTAATTAAGATACTTTTCTGGATAAGCTACCCTAGTTACTGTTTGTTTGGGCATCGTAGTAAGTACTAAGCTGGACTTTTTTTTTGAGTGAGGAGAATTTTATTGGAAATAAGGAGAGACTAGTTCCTAGATTTCTGGGAGGGGTCCTAAATGGGTAGGCCTAAACTAGATTTTTTAACAAGAAATACACACAGTTGAACTTCGAGACAGCAGCGTCTTTGCCTACTCTTTATAAATAAGAAGCTTCTGATCCACTGTAATTAAATTAGACTTCCATCTTACATTACTCATTGCATTGTCTAAACCAGTGGTGGTGAACCTGTGGCCCACATGCCGCAGCCGGCTGTTTGCATCAGTGAAAGTTCCTAACAAGTTCCCATCACTGGTCTAAACGCAGGGCTCCAGTGCAGAGCCGCCCCCTGCATCTCATAGCCCATGTCACAGCCTTGATTATGCCTGAGTGACCTGCCTTTGTTCACTGTTCAGGGTACAGCTTTCAGAAAAGAGATATTTCCATGCTTTCAATGAAATATGTCCACGAGATTTTTCTTTCAAGTGAAAATCTGAAGCACTTTTTAACACCATTTCTTTTTTCCCTAGCAAATACCAAAGGCAACAAGAGATCCAGGACAAGGACAGACTCCTACTCTGCGAGCCAGTCCGTAGGTGAGTGCTGACCCCAAGGGAGATGACCTGGGCCAGGCGCACCTAGGGCACAGGTGCGGGGAGCCTCACGCCTTCGGGTGGTGAGCCAAAGCATCCTGGCTGCAGAGTGCCAAGCAAGTACAGTAAGCGTGTTTTCCTCACGATTCCTGGCAGCAGTCGCCTGGCAGAGAGGCTGCCCTGCTAATGTGTCACCGACAGGCATTTACTGCACTTCAGAAGCATGGCCTAAAATACTGCTGAGCCCCAAGTACCAAAATATGTACTGTATTTCCAGTCTTGACAGGAATGGAATGGGTACTTCAAGCTCCAAAATTTTTGTCTAAGTGTTTGATCTAGATAGAAAAACAGTGCAAGGTATGTGTGAGTATCAGCCCGAGTCTAGCCTGACCTGCAGCGGTGACTGGGCTAGGGTAATTTTTAATATATTGAGTTGGGGGCTGGTGAGATGGCTCAGTGGTCTAAGGCACCTACTTAGAACAAGCTAAGCTAAGCAAAACACAGAGACTGCGGTTCAATCCCCCAGCACCACATGCCAGCCAGCCCCGCCCCCTGGTGG